AAAGAGAAAAAAAAGAGAAAAAAATAGAGAGAAAAAAAGAAAAAAGAAAAAAAAAGAAAAATAAAAAAATGAAAAAGAAAAAAAAAGAGAGGAAAAAAAAAGAAAAAGAAAAAGAAAAAAAAAAAAATAAGAGACTTGCTCGGGTAGTAACTGTAGCAAACCAGAATGCAAAGTTCCCAGAACCAAATGCCAGAAGCAGAGGTAGGAACTACCCAGTAAGAGGGAGAGGGGGATTTCAGCCCCATCCACCCAAGATAAGATCAAATCAATGTTCCAATTGCTTGCAGATAGGACACTGGAAACGAGAATGTCCTCAACTAAGGGAAGGACCTACAAGTACTACCATTGCGCATCAGAACAGTGAATGAGGGGGACCGGTGAGTCGTTCCCTAGCAGACCCACTGGTTAAAATGGAACTAGGCGAAGGTGAAAAAGAACTAGACTTTCTAATTGATACGGGAGCAACATTTTCGATTTTAAACCAAGAGCTAGTACCCAGAAGTAATGAATTTGTACAGGTTGTGGGAGCAACAGGTCAACCAGAAAAAGCCTACTTCTTAAAACCCATTAAATACAAAATTGGAAAACAAATGGGAATCCATCAATTTTTGTATCTACCAAATTCTCCAAAGCCTTTACTAGGTAGAGATTTATTGGAAAACCTAGGGGCTGTAATAAAATTCAATAAGGATAAACTTGAATTTCAAGTAAATGATGAACAATTAATAGCAACTTTAAGTTTAACAATCAGCTGTATAGAACCAAAACCTAAAAGTCATAACATTGAACGCATCATGAGCGAAGTATATCCGTTAGTGTGGGCCACTGATGTACCTGGGAAGTCAAAACAGGCAGCTCCTATTACTATTCAATTGCTACCAGGAACAAAACCAGTAGTAAAGAAACAATACCCACTGAAGTTAGATGACAGGAAGGGAATTGAACCAATAATCGAGAAATTTTTAAAACTAGGACTATTCGTAGACTGTGAATCAGATTTCAATACACCAATCCTACCTGTTAAGAAACCAAATAGGACATACAGATTAGTCCAGGACTTAAGGGCAGTAAATGAAATTACAAAGACCTTACATCCAGTAGTAACAAATCCATATACTCTTCTAACCAAACTGAGGGAAGCTTTAAAATGGTTCACAGTATTAGACTTAAAAGATGCATTCTTTTGCCTAGCCTTAGCTCTAGCAAGCCAGAAAATTTTTACTTTTGAATGAGAATCTACCAAAACAGGAAGAAAGACCCAATTAACTTGAACTGTGTTACCTCAAGGTTACAAAAATAGTCCCACAATTTTCGGAAACCAATTGGCCAAAGAATTAGAACAATGGGAAAGGCCACAGGGAAATGGTACCCTTCTACAGTATGTAGATGATTTATTTATAGTAACTGAGACAGAAGAAAAGTGCATTAAATGGACTATTTCCCTGCTAAACTTCTTGGGTTTAAGTGGATATCGAGTCTCTCTACAGAAAGCACAATTGATACAGAAAAAAGTGATATACCTGGGATATGAAATCTCCAGAAGACAACGATCCCTAGGAACAGCGAGAAAAGAAGCCATCTGCCAAATGCCCAGACCAGAGACGGTGAGAGATCTACATGCCTTTCTAGGAATGACAGGTTGGTGCCGGTTATGAATTTATCAATACAGGGTACTTGTCAAACCACTGTACGATTTACTGAAAAAAACTACGAG